ATATATATATATATATATATATATATATATATATATATATGACTTCTGTCACTTCATTTCAACATGAAAGTTCCATCAGTCAAGAAAAATATTTTAAAGAATACTACTAACACTAAGAGACACTGAACAATGTAAATTAGATTTAATATTTTTTGGTGCGTATATTTAATTTACTTTACTAAATTTCATATTGTTTTAAGGTGTGGAAAAATAAATCTTGCAAAATGACTAAAAGGATATACATTTATTGTCAAAACAGTTTACATGTGAAAATCATATATGAACTTGCTTTAAGGAATATATGGGGCCAAGATATGGATTACACAGATAAGCATTTATGATATGAGAACAAAATAAAAATAATGGAATAGCTGTATTATGGTCTGGATGTTTGTTGCACAAAAATTCCTATGTTTACATCCTAACTTTCAAGGTGATGGCATTAGGAACACGGTCTTTGGAAGATGATTAGATCTTCAGAGAAGATCACTTATTACTGGATTATCACCCTTATAAAGGAGACTTCAGATAGCTATCTAGCCCCATGAACCATGTGAAGTTAGAATAAAAAGAGAACCATCTATGCAGAAGCAGTCCCTCACCAGACACTGAACTTGCAAGTGCCTTTCTTAATCTTGGACTTTCCACCCTCTAGACCTTTAAAAATTTCTAATGTGTGTAAGCCAGTATTATGCTTTATATAATTATTTTGTTATAAAATCATATGTTATTATAATTCTATAATTAAAATTGGAATATTTATAATAATTATAATATTATATTACATTAATAATTATATCATTATATTATATAAAATTATTAGAATATTCATAACAATTATAACATTTATAATATTATTCATATAATCATCATATTATGATATAATATATAATACTATTATATACAATATAATATTATATGTAATACATTATATATTATAGCATTTTATTATAGTAGCCCCAATGGAGTAAGACAAGCTGTACCCCAATTTAAAGAAGATATATTTAAAACAATTTATTTTATAATTCAATTACTATAACTTTAGAAGCCCAACCTCCAAAAAACAAAAAGAAGATATTTCACTGGGTGAAACACCTGGCATTTTGGAGGAATTTGCCTTTGAATGTTCAAGAACAGCAAAATTAGAGATACAATTATATACAAGCAAGAGACTTTGAGGTACTGTTGCACAGTATGGTAACTGTACACTACAGTTATGTAATGTACATTTCAAAAAGCTAGAAGAAAAATTTGTAAGTTTTCACCATAAATAAGTGATAAATAAATAAATATATAGATAGATAGATAAATGATAAATAAATGCATCAAATATTACATGGTTCCCCATTAATATGTACAACTTTTATTTTTTGTCTGCTAAAAATAGAATACTTAAAACAGCAATATTAATGGTTGAAGCACGCCATATATTTTTAGATAAGCTCAGCACAGCAATATGTAGCCCAGAAAATAAAAATAAAGCTTTAAGATTCTAATTTAAATTACTTTATGAATACAGAAATATGGAATAATATGTTAGTAAAACTAATATTTGACATAATAAGGAATATTTTTCCATTCAGCCCTCTTTGATGACGTTCAGCACTCATCCTAATTGTTACTGCTTGTTCAATTTGTTGTCTCTTCTGTGCATTCTAGTGTTTTCTTCTCTAGCTTATTTTGACTAAATTTTACTTCTAGCACCAGCTCAACAAATATTTGTATTACAAGTGAATTAATTCAACATGTCTTGCATAGCAAAGTTATTTCCCCTCTGGGTGATAGTTCTGTTTTCATGTTTATGTTAAACATTTTTTTTTTCATATCCATCGTGACATATATAAATCTGAGTAGAGAAAAGAACAGGAAATTTTAGTTTTAATTCTGTGCCTCAAGGAGATTGTCACTTCTCTGAGAATGCACAGTTCCAAGTGGCAAATCTTGGATTTTCATTCAGATTATTTTTCATTAAAATTTAGGTTTTTTTTCTTATCAATCCACACATCCTCTAAAGACTTAATCTTGATTAGGAGTTTAGATTTCATATGTGTACATCATCTTTTCACATTAATGTGTAAAACTGCAAATGTAAACTTATGAAATTAAAAATTATCTTCTGCACAATATCAAATTTTCAATCCTTTGGAACTTAATTTTTCTCAACTTTTTGTTTCTTGGTAGCCAGTTAGATTATTTCAGGAATGGTTTCTAGTGACTCCTACATTGACACTTAATGTGAGATGATTTGCTTTAAACAATGGAACGTTACTAAATATGATATGAACAGAAACTGAAAAAGCCCCTCATGTTGGAGTTTTCATTCTCAGTGGTCCTAGGGATAGTCCTACTACTCACTGAAGAATACCAGGCCAGCCTATTTGAAGACAAAACCATATGCAAAAGAGACTAGCAGTCCAAACAGAGGGCCCAAACAGCTTTTAGTAACTGACAGTTGCATGCAGCTCCATGATAGATCTGTGAAAGTCTGACAAACCCAACCAAAACTCTCATCCCCAGAATTCTGAGCAAACTCAATGTTGGTTATTGTTTGAAGCCACTAATGTTTGGGGTGGTTGGTCATAAAACTAAGGCTAACTAACAAATTATTATTTTAAGTAAAAAATTGATTAAAATCGGGTATGCATGTGTATATATATATGTGTGTGTGTGTGTGTGTATGTATGTATATATAT